TTCCCTCCCTCCCTCCTTCCCTCCCTTTCTTGTTTTCTTAATAGTTTTCCCTTTACTTCTATCACCTTCATATTAAATCCTGGGTTTCTATTTCACTATACATTTTGATTTTTGCTTTATTGGTTAGCCGTATGTATACAGCTACTGCTATACTTCTACTTCATTAAAAATACTGATGACAAATTTATTTCAGCTTCAGAACATGAACATTTACAAGAAATGTCACCTTTGGATTTGCTTGAGATCAAGTTGGAATATGTCACTGAAATGTATTTACTGCCCTCTATTAACAATTTGATAATGGGCTCCTCTCCCGGTATGAACCCCCAATAAAACCAAGAGGACTAAATCAGAAAACATAAGAATATAAGAAGAACTCCCCTGGATCACACCACTGGCTTGTCTAGTTCAGTGCTTCCCAGCCTTGGGTAACCCAGGCGTACTTGGACTGCAACTCCCAGAACCCCCAGTGTTGAAGGCTTCTGGGAATTGCAGTCCAAGAACACCTGAGTTTTCAAGATTGGGGACCACTGGTCCAGTCCAAAGTCCTGTTCACACACATCCTATTAGTTAAACATGAGTGCAACTAGACCCTCTATTTTATGTTCTTTAGCAACGAATACTGTACACAGAAGCACAGTACATATGGGCCTTGAGGTGATATACAGTAGGAGTATGAAGAAATCTTGTATCTCCCTTCTTGTCAAGACAACCAATATTAAGTTGGTGAGGCAGCATGGCCACAAAGAGTCCTCCAGCACTTGTTATGAGACTTCTTCTATTCATCATGAGAACAAAAGAACAAACACTTATTTGTTCCATATTTTTGTAACATACAGCAGGGCAAAACCAGTGCTTTCCCCCTTAGTACCAATGAATATATGCACACACATTCACAGAGAAATGAGATCAAAAAGACTCAACCAACCCATTCAGTGCTACTATGTTAGCACTCTGTCACACAAGAAGGAAAGCCAGGTTGCTTTTTCTATTGAGTTTCTTCTCCTCCACCACCCCAGAAATACACTGTCTCACACAAACACACAAAATGATCTCATAAATGCACGATAATCTCTCTGAAATTAATACAGTATTGTCATCTGTAGCATAGAGCACTGGTTCTTAATCTTGGGTTACTCAGGAGTTTTGGACTGCAACTCCCAGAAGCCTTCACCACCAACTGTGCTGGCTGGGGTTTCTGGGAGTTGCAGTTCAAAAGCATCCGAGTAACAAAGGTTAAGAACCACTGGCGTAGAGGAAAATTATCACATTACATTGTTTGCTGTACAAGAACACAGAAAATAAGGATTTTTTAAAAAAAACTTGAATGGTAGCCATTGACGGTCCAGTGCTCCACAAACTTGTTGAAGTCTCTTTTAATGCTTTTCACATAACAGCTCAGTTCCTTGGGCAGCATGCAGTCCAAACTGGAGACCTGCAATTATTCCAGTCCTGGACCTAGATGATAGAATTTAGATAGTCTGGACGGGTATATGATTACAGGCATAATACCATGATTTTCGTATGTTGGGTTTGTCTGTTCATAACATAAGGATCATCTGACATAATCAATGCATCAAGCTGTCATTCTACGTTCTGCTGACTGATATATGGGGAAGACACATCGTTTTTAATTTCTAATATGTGCAAATGCCAAGCTGGTACCCAAAGTTAGGGTAAGACCCATTAGTAGAGAAGTCCACTGCAAAGAAATCATCACAAAATAATTATTTATGGAGTCAATTCTAGAGAGGGTCATGAAGTGCAGTTTGGTGGTTCGGTCCAGTTTGGTGTGGGACTCACACAGGTGTTCCTTGGGCACCTCGTGGTTCCCTCCTCTACCTCCTGAGTTTATTCCCCCATTCACCAGCAGTAGCACAGACTTGCCCCCACTTCCTGCTCAGGTGGTTGCCCACTCAGACCAAGAGGCAGAGCAGGGAATCCTGCACTGCTGCCAGTGAGTGGAAGATTGCCCAAGGAGATGGAAGAGGGAAGCAAGGTTTTGCTGGTAAGTAGGCAAATGACCAGAGGAGACAAGGGAAGGAAGAACACAATGACCACTGACCACCTGTGCTGGTGGTCTGTGCCCATCTCTTGTTGTCCACGAGAGGTAGGAAAAATCTTTTTATTTCCATGAGCTCAGGCCACACTTGATACACAGACCAGGAAGCAAGCATGAACAAATGTGAAGGGCAACAATTGCAATGAGTTTTCAATGCAAAAAGAGAAAAGATCAGTTTGATGGATTTCAGTATAGTTTCACCAGCTGGTGGGGAGAGAGAAGATGTGAATGATTAAAGTTGAACGCTAGCATGTTGATGGACGCTCAGATGACTAACTAGCCCAATACAAGCCTGGAAGATACAGAACCAGTGGGAGCAGGTTAGATAATCTTGGGCTTGGGGAGCTGTTGAGAAATTACATGCTTGCATTCTCACTACTCTTTCCCCTTTTTTGTTTCAAATTCTTTAGCTCCTTGTTTGACAGAGTTTTGTGAGACACTTCAATTTTGAGAGGCAGCTTCCTAATTCACATGGTCAATATTAAAATCTTTCAGTGTAGACTTCAGTGTATCTCTGAGTCATTTCTTTTGTCCGTTATACAATCAAACAACTGAAATACGCTCTCCAGAGAAGACGGTTGTCCCACATCATGACAACCTGGTCAGCCCACTGAAGTTGTTGTTGTTTCAGGATTGCAAAAATGTGTGTCGTCTGTGTTTGCTCCAAAACATTTAAGGTTGGGGACTTTATTCTGCCCTTTGATGTTCAGAATTCTTTTAGGACAGATAAGATGGGAAAAACAGAACTTCTTTGCATGGTGCTGATAGACAGTCCACATACAGTGGTGCCTCGCTTAACAACGATAATCCGTTCCAGGAAAATCGCTGTTAAGAAAAAATATCGTAAAGCGAAATTAAAAAACCCATTGAAACGCATTGAAAACCGTTCAGTGCGTTCCAATGGGCTAAAAACTCACCATCCAGCGAAGATCCTCCATACAGTGGCCATTTTCAGTGCCTGTATAGCGAGGAATCCATCCCTAATCACAGCAGGGAGCCATTTTAAGCACCCAGTGGCCATTTTGAAAACCCGACGATCAGCTGTTTTTGATCTTCGTAAAGTGAAAATCAGTTCCCGAAGCAGGGAACCGATCATCGCTAAGTGAAATTCCCCCATTTAGACCATCATTTTGCGATCACAACTGCAATCGCAAAAACATCATCATAAAGCGGATTCATCGTAATGCGGGGTAATTGTTAAGCGGGGCACAACTGTATCTGGGTCATTAGATAGAGTGGATTGAATAACAGCTTTGTAGATCTTCAGCTAGAGTCCCATTTTGATCCCACACAAAGGATCAAAGTCCTCTGAAACGGGTGCTGGCTTTAGAAATGTGTGTGGTCACTTCATTATAAATGAGGATGCAGCAAGAGACAGTGCTGCCAAGATACAAGAACTTGTCCACTGCAATAAGGGGTTTTTCATATACTTCAGAACTGGTTCCTCATAAGTTGCACCCGGAGCAGTTTGGTATATCACCACTGTCTTATCAGTATTGATCTTCAGGCTGAAATTGTTGCCAGTGGAGAAGAACAGATCAAGACTTATTTGCATATCCAAAAGCATGATTGAGAGTGCAATCATTGGCAAAAAAAGTTCAAAAAATTAGATTTTCATTATGGCTTGTAGATGTTCCACATGTACACATGGGCATACACACACAGCATGCAAAGAGACATGAACTTTCTCAGTGTAACTTCATCTTCACACTGCTTCACAACATGAAATCAAGATAATTTAATATAGCCCAACAGCTATATGTGGGACATCCCACTAGGAACTGCATGAATCTGTTGTGTATACTGTCTTTCTCTGAACTCAAGGATAAGAGGGGCTATCAATTCTGGTATGGCGGTCCATAGCACATGGCACGTAGGCTGCATTCAGCTAGTCATGCATGCTTCAACTAGAGGGTCTATTGTTCGGTTTTATTTTTACCGAAATACGGAATGCTTATGTTCCTAGAAGCTGTCCATGCTGGATATCCTGATGTACTCACCCTGGGGTATCCACAAAGTTTCAGGCAATGAGCCAGCAAAAGTAGGAAAGCTTGAGATTGTGGCCAGGAGGTCCTATTATTAGCAGCCCTGCTCCATTCTTACAAACTCAAGGCCATGACTTCCTTTATTGAGTCAAGGCATCTCATGCTTGGTCTTCCTCTTTTCCTACATGACTTTATTTATTTCACTTTCGTTGCCTTCCTATGCACATATATGTTTGATGAGCTTCTGTCTGTGGATGCTCTCCACCAATTCTCCAGGGCCTCACCTTACAGGGAGGGCCTCTACAAACAGATGGAGCTTTCCTTCTTCAATTTGGTCACCTTCTTCCTGTAGATCTGGTGCAAGAACCAAGGGGAATGGGGGCAACAAGACTTTCCATTTTGGGGTCAGTGAACTTTCTACACCAAGATGAACTACTGAAAATGGCTGCGCCGCTACACTCAAACCTGAAAATAGGACTTCAAATAAGATCTTCTTAATCTGAACTGAGCGTGTTTATCGCTCAAAGTCCCTTGGATAAGATGCCGACATTTCCCAGCTGCGCCTCAGAAAAACATGCCTGCAATGTTTCATAGGATGATTGGAAAGAACATTTTATTTCTCAGCTGCTAAAGTACAAGATTTAAACAGGAGGAAATAAATATAAACAAAAAAGACAAGAGAATTGTCTTCTGGTAACTTAAATGAGTCTTGACCAGACTTTTAATAGACAGAAGCAACAGATTCCAGCTCTAAAGAACTGGTCACCATTCTGAAAAGTGCTATGCTCAGTGATGAGTCAGGACACTGAAGTGAAAGAAAAATATCCAGAGGTTACATCTTCTAACTTAACATCAAAGTCAAGGAAATAAACTTTGAACAAGTTATAGCATCGGACAAATTATTAACAGATACCAATTATATATTTTTTAAAAATCACACAGCAAGAGGACTCTTTTTTTTTACTTCCAGATGTAATTATGAAATATAGCAATTCTCCAAAGGTTGCGCATGACTTAACCAAAAATGTAAACGCAATAATGCATTCTCAGTTCAGTCTTCCTCTCTTTTGTCAGCTTTGCTTTCGTCCAATGTCAATGAAATATTCTTCACTGGATGAATTCTTCTCAAGATTCACACACATACACACACGTACACACACTTTTTAAAAAAAGTCCCTGGCTTTCTTTTATCAATGTTCTGACCGGTAGGTGGGGAAGGTTTCTGTTCGATGGATCTTCAGTGGACTTTCTTCTCCAAATCAGGTCAGGAAGAGAGAGGGGGGAAAAGCAATATTTTAGCCAACGATTATACATTCCTAATTTTAGTACCTAAAAATTCTTCTCTCTCTCTCTTCTAAGCACTGTGCTTCACTTTTTGCTTAGGAAAAGCATACCTTTACAGAAATTGCCCAATTGTGTGCCAGATCTTTGGTCCATGAGACCAGTATGGTCCATGGATTCAGGCAGAATTCTTGCCAAGAGATCTTTGGTCCATGAGACCAGTATGGTCAACACTTATTCGCTGTCCATGGATTCAGGCAGGATTCTTGCCAAACCCTACCTGGAGATGCTAGGGTCTGAATCTGAGATGCTTTGGGTGCAGGTATGTGATTTACTCCTAAAGTATGTCCCCTCCACTCCTTAAATAAAGAAGAACAACAGGGACTTTTTCCTGGGGTACCAAAAGTTTGAGAGAATCTATACCTCTTGTTCCTATTCACCTTGGTTTTTCGGGGGCCAGGGGACCATGCACACATTTTCTCTTTCTTTTGAAAAGGAGCAGGGTCTCCTTGTTTTTCTCGGGAGAAGGGGCTCATGCCATGCATCAAAGTAGAATGGGTGGGAAATTATGTTAATTGCCTTAAGTACCAAAATTGCTATTTATAGCTCTGCCTCTTCTTAAAATATACATTCAGAAAAATGGCAGGATAGCAACTTTTCTCTTTTCTTTGTTGTTTATTACACCACTTTGCTACCAGTGTTACCTGATCTGTGAGTGTTTGGATGCCATATTTTGATTTTTAATAGGGGCTCATTCTTTCTCCGTTACTGTTTGATTCCATTTGAACAGTACCAGTGATGAACATGGTAACACCATATAGCCAAATGTAACTTGATAACGTGTAACAAAGCTCATAAGCATAGTTTCAGACAGGAAAAAAAATATCCATTTCATTGAAGCAAAAGAGCAGCTTTTGAATATTTTCAATCTCAATGTTATGTGCCTTACACTAGGATCAATCTTGGACTGTAATTCTTAAGATTAGATAAACTTGGCTTCCTTCCCTGCTTTCCCCATATTCTCTGTATTGGATTTTAAGCCGCTAACCTTAGCACACTCAACTGGGATTCATTGGGATTGAATATTTTCAATCTCAATGTTATGTGCCTTACACTAGGATCAATCTTGGACTGTAATTCTTAAGATTAGACAGGACTTAGCTTCCTTCCCTGCTTTCCCCATATTCTCTGTATTGGATTTTAAGCCGCTAACCTTAGCACACTCAACTGGGATTCGGTCCCGTTGAACACAATGGGACTTACATCTGGGTAGACATGCATTGGATTGCTCTATTAAACTATATAGGGCGACTACAGGAACTGCTGCTCAACTCAACTCATTTATGCACACTTACCTGGAAATAAAACTCACAGAATTCAGTGGGTCTTACTCCTGAATAGACATGTACAGATTGTACTGTACTCAAGAGTTCAGGCTCTGAGGGTGTACAGTAATTGGAAAGGAACACCATTGCATATACTTTTATTGGCCACTAGATGTCCTTCATTGATTGTAAGAGAAACCACTAGCCACACATCTAAAGTCTTAAAACTGTTAGGGACACCATGCCCTGAAAATCTGAATATCTATGCTGTTCTTAGAACTTTAAAATGTTTTTTTTTTCAGAAAAAATGTTCCCTTTTTTGGACTGCAATGCTTTGCCATATTCTCCAAGCATGGGCATGCTGGCTAATGAAATCTGGATCTTGTCATCCAAAAAAGTAACTTTCCTAAGCTCTTTCCTTCCCAAATCAATGAACACAAGTTTATTGGTGGGTGGGTAGGAATTACATCTTGCAAAATATCCTAGGATCATATGTAAAAAGATGCACAGTTGCTCTTCCAATTCTTCTGCAGTGCTTTTGCAAATGTCTCTAGACTGTACATGGAAGAAAGTAGACATTCGTTTGCTGCGAATGAGTGGGAGAATATTCATAGCAAGCCAGCTGAATTATTAATAGCCTGGAGTGGATAATAAGCCTTATTCTTTCCCAAGTACAATGGATTGTGGACCAATAGGTGGCTTAGAATGAGTAATATGGGGGAAGAATGAAGAGTTGCTTGCTGGTTCTACTACACCTCTCTTCCCTGTTCAGACTGAATGAGGATGGTTCTTACAGAGAACAAAGGCACAGCATTTGATCTGGCAACATCAGGTTCAGCACTGCAGTCAATAACCTCCTCCTTTGTGCTTTTGGCTGAACTTCAGTACAAAAATAACCCCTTCGTGTCTGGCCATGCAGGGAAAAACAAAGAAAGGATGGGAAAGAAAGGGTCCCAAGTAATGGCTGTCCATGCAAGGAGCTCAGTCACATATGTACATGGACGGCAGTTTACGAGAATCCTTGCTGAAGCAGTGCAGGTCATCAAAATCTGACACACCTAGTGGTAGAACTTGGAAAAGTTTCTCTCTCTCTCTCTCTCTCTCTCTCTCTCTCTCTCGTTTTTTTTTTAAAGATGGAGGGTAAAATCTTCTCAAACCCCAGCAGAAGCCAAGGACGATTTTTTTTTTTTTTTTTTTAAGATGGAGGGTAAAATCTTCTCAAATTTACCCCAGCAGAAGCCAAGGACATCATCATCATCAGGCACCAATAAAATTTAATTCAGACTTCCTATCCTAATGGTTGTTGTGGGTTTTTCCGGCTCTTTAGCCATGTTCTGAAGGTTCTGGAGGTCAACCTTCAGAACGTGGCCAAAGAGCCCAAAAAAACCCACAACAACCATTAGATCCCGGCCATGAAAGCCTTCGCAAATACATTCCTATCATAAACTTCCTATCCCCCAACAGAAAGTTTCCTAAGCTTTCTATTCTCTAGCTTTCAGGTTCCAAGGCTCCTTAGGACTCCCCTTTGCTGTGGGAAAGCCTTTAGGAGCCTCAGGACAGGAGAGGGGCAGAAACCTTTAAGGGTAAATACAATCACAGCTGGATTGCCACTGCCAGGATCGGAGACAGTCTTTGAACGGTTACACATGCTTCTCACCTTGTAGACCAAAAAGCTGCCCGGTGCTATGCTGCCGTGTGATGTGCTGCCAATAGGCACTGCGTGGCAAGGGAACCATGGTGCCAAGGGAAACCGCTCGGTCACTCATTTTCATCTGCAGCTGAAAGGAAGCCCAAGAGATGCAGGGATTAACAGCTGGTGATAACATTCAATCCTTCTCCATTGATGTCCCACTAGATCATAAGAACCCGGGAATCTGCTTAATTCTAACTCAGATCCTTGGTCTACCCCAATCAAAATGGCCAGTTCTGAACAATTTTCTAAGTTTCTTTCCCAGAGTAGATCCCTGATCATTTTTGGTCATGTCCAGCCCAAGTGCTAATCAAACCTGACCTGCTTAGCAACTGAAATCAGACAAGATGAAATGTGTTCAGGCTGGTAGGGTTGTTATGTCTACCATGGGCTTCCAACTCTTTTACCTCTCTGAATCAAGGACATTAGAAACAACTGAGCTGATGACTTATAAATTTAGCCAATATGCTTAAGCACTGTGGTTTTGACAATTACGTTTGCGATCCTATGCACACGTACCTGGGAGACAGTCCCACTAAACTCAATGCAATTTTCTTCTGAACAGACAGGCAAAGAATTGTGCCATGGCTATGGAATATAGGGGTGGGTGGGGTGCTCCTACAATCATATCTTGTTTGCAAATCTCCCAGTGACACCTGGTTCTCACAGCCCACTGTAGGAAAGGCCTTCTGGAACACATGGGTCTCCGTTCTAATCAAATAGAGATCTTCTGATGTTCTTATTCATGAGTTGTCATTAAAGTTCTAAGTTCTGCAAAGTTTAGTCATTCGTACAGATGCACATATGCACACACACACACACACACACACACACACATTTCAAAATCAGCTCATTATCTTTAAACACCCACAATCTATGTTAACACTATTAAATCACACAATTGAAGCTTCTACCCACACCACATTAAATAAATATGGTCCCTCAAATATGTGACTTAACAGCTTGCACTGTTATTCTATAATCCAATGCCATGGAAACAACTAGAAATCTATTTTAGGAATTGCAGCATTCTGTAAAATAATGATTTTTTTTAAAAAAAAACTCTCAAAGTGTACTCTTATATGATGTGCAGGGAGCTAGAATAATCATTTCTAATTTGAAAATAAAGCAGTGTTTGGATTTAGGAGTAATCTCTGATAGAAGGGAAGGGCTGAAGAGAGCTATTTACTCAAAATAAATAAATAGCTTCAAACAAAAAATGCTGTATTTGTGTGCATGGGAGGGGGAGATATTGAAAGAGGGCACATGTTAAAGAAGAGAAAGAAATTGGAAGGGGAACACAACACCACCAGCTTGACTTATTTTCATTTACAGATCTCAGAAAGTTCAGAGACAAAGGGTCAAACTAGGTATGTTTGGCATGATTTTAAAAGAGGTGCTCCTTCTAGTGGTAGAAGATGTCTCTCTGTCACACCACCCTCTAATAGTGAAAAATTTGTTTGTCATATGTTTCTCTCCCACTATGTGGCTGATTGGTCATTAGAAAATAAACATAGGCTTAGTTTGCAAATCTGATGGCTGAAGCATGTATGTCTAATGAAATTCAGGGGCGGGGCAGAATGTATTAACTGGAGGAAACACTTATTCCCCTGAAAAATTCCTGAGCTATTGAATATCACATGAAACTCAAGAGAAGGAAAAATACTTCTGCTTCCCTTTCCATTTCTATAACTTTTAATAAACCCTATATTACTAATAGAGCCAGCCCAAGACATTTTGCTGCCAGAGGCAAAGAACAACACCATTTCCCAGACAAAAGCCAAATGGACAGGCAGCTAAATCTTACTTCAACACTGACTAAAGGAGGATACATTCCACTGCACCTGAGGGCTGCAGGCAAGCACAAGAGGCTGAGAGACATGACTGTATCCTTCTCACTGCCATTCCTTGGATTAGTTCTGGGAAGCTAAATAGCTCAGTGGATTAGGTATCTGGCTGTGGAGCAGAGACTTGGAGTTCGATTCCCCAGCATGCCTCCTTGACAGGGGATGGGCTCAATGAGCCATAGGGCCCCTCCCAGCTCTGCCTTTCTAAGATGACAATGGTGAAGGAGGGAATGTCGTCATTTTCCTAATGGTAGGGCTGGCACCCATGAATTACCTACACTGCTCTTAGATCTGATGCAGCAACATATTTATAATGTTTGACTTTTTCAATTCAAAATCATGAGTCAATCGGTAAAGCTGGCCCAAGTCATTTCCTACCATGCCTTCATTAAAGAGCTGCCAAATTGCTTGTCTGGTGACCCCCGCAGGTTAAGAAGAAAGAACCAGGGCAAGTTAACAAGGACCAAAGGAAGCCACATGCTCAGACATATCCGTCAAATCAAAAGTTGAATTCCTGCTTAGGAAAAGATGGCCTACAGACTTGGTGTCATTAATACGAGCTTGCTAGAGGATTAGAGGCATAACGAGGGCGCATACCATGGAGTTTTTCACACTCTGTAATAAGTGGTCATGTTGTTCTGCTATGGTCAGAGCTGCCGAGTGAACTTTCTGATAGATCGCCTCCCCGTCTCGCGTCTGAAAGATGAACAGTCCTTCCCCTGTGTCACACATCCTGCCAGAAAGATCGGACTGATTTAGAAACATACCTCTCTAAAACTGCCTGCAGATACCCTCCCTCAAAAAAAAGACTAGCAAACAGGAAGAAGACACCATCAGGTTAATACACATTAAACCACAATCATACTGTGTGTATATTCACAAGCCACAATCAAGTAGTCTACGATCTGGGTTTAGGTACCCAACTTCACAGCAACCAGTGTACCTGGGCAGTCCAAACAAATCTTTATAAACCCATTCAAGGAAGAAAAGAACAGCACACAAAGGGGATCGTTTTCACTTTTGGATTTAGACAATCTTCATATAGTCTAGATTTTAAACCATGCTATCTCTTGAAGCAGAACTTTTTTACAACAATTTTTCTGCGTAGAGCCTCAACGGCAGCCTCATTAACAGAACAAAAACAGAAGGCATGTTCTCCCTTGTTTTGAATCCTGTTCCTGCTAAATACTGTATTTCTGTTCAGCCCAGTCCATCAAACTGAACCATGCAGCTTGGATCCAAGACAAGCTATTTGCATATAAGGCAATACGGTGTAGTGGTAAGAGTAATGGACTAGACTACAGAGATATGGATTTAATTTTGGGTTAAGTTTGGGCTTTGAGCCAATCAATATCTATCAGTATTTCACAGGGGTGTCATAAGCATCAAAAGGGTGGGGCTGAAGGGAGACCATGGATGCTTTCTTAAACTCTTTGAAGAAAACATAGGATGCAAATAAAAAATATGGAGAAGCAACAAGGGCTCACAGCATTGTTTGCTATTTCCCCCCACACACACACACACAATTTCCAATGAATGGTTATCCTGACAGCCCACTTAAGTTTTCGAAAGTATGTCTGTTTTCAAAGCCCTGGTCAAAATTTTTCTCTAGCAGATGGGTGAGTGTAATACATGTATATCCTTCTTTTAAAATTATCTCCAACTCTGATTCAGCATATTTTCCTGGGCTTACAGTGGCCAGATTCTATTTCTCAGGAGATTTAAAATACTGGCTGCTTTCCCAGAATGAGATAATTTTTTCCTGTGCCACTACTGGCTTGAGATGTGATATTAAAGGGATACAAAGCAGCGGCTGCATCCATGTCTTGCTTTTTGTGTGTCTCAATAGCACTGTCTATTATTATTCACATAGTCTATGAAACAAGGCCTCACAACCTCATACAGACAAAGGAGAGAGATTAGGGGCATGCAATTCTCTAGACATCATCCTTCTTTTCCCTCCAAGTTTAGTCCAATTTCACTGATCTGGTTTAGTTTAGTTTAACAGAATGGGATCTATCTTCTCTTTTTCTCCCCAATTTGTGTGTTGGCTTTAAAACTGTATGTTGTGCCTAAATATGTTTTTCCATCAATGCAAATGTGTTTAAATAGAATTTTGCACATGGGTGGAAAGTGCAGATTTTTCTCTGCCCGCTCTTCAAATGTACAGCTTTTTTCCAGTCACCTATTCATGTGACAGTTCCAGAGAGGAAGTTGTATCTGCCCTGCTATGATGGTCCTTCACTTTCCCCTGAAGCTACCTTCCTCATATTTCCCCTTTCAGGAAGAAATGGTAGGCCTTCTTTTCCTTTTCTTTAATCACTCTGGACAACCACCTTTAAAGTTTCTCCTCAGTAGCACATTATGCAAAGCTCTGTATCCACATAGTGAGTAAAATTTATATCAGAAGGATCCAAAACAGAAGGAAAACATCCCTGTGTGTTAACAGAGAACTGCAGCAAGCGATGGCAGCTGCAGAAAATTTGACCACTTTATTAGTAACTTGGAGGACTTTATCAGAAAGAAACATTGAGATATTTGGGGGGGGATCTATATAGGAATTTTTGAAGAATAGATATAAGAAATTCTTTACGATGATCCTGGTAGAAGGAAAAGTGTCCCATTTTGCCACTATTACAAGAACATTAATGATACTGAAAAAGTGCTCCATGATATCTCCCCTCCAAGAGCACAGAAGGCAAGACATTAAATAAAGATTTCTTGAACTTGGAAAAAGTTTAATTAGCCAAATTTAGCTGCCTAGAGTGGTCTTTTAGACCAGATGGGCGGGGTATAAATCAAGTAAATCAAAAAATATGTATAGGGCACAAATATCTTATTGCTACAGCACTCTACTTACTCAGCAATCTTTAAATATTCTTCTAAATTCTATGTCCCAGATTCTCTGCTTAGCAACTGGTCTGACTTTAAAGCAAGCAAGCACTATTAAGGTGCTGGGAGAAAATCCCAGGGACAGTAATTCCTTAGACAGGTGTCTTTTCCATTTAGATTGAAAGATCTCTAATGTTAACAGTGCAAGTCCTACTGACAGAAAGATATGTTTCAGCCAGTAGCTTATCAGGTATACACTGGTATGAGATTCAATAGGACTTAGACCTCATTCTAGGCACCAAACCATGTTATGGATATAATATGGAGCTGAAAATATAACTCTCAGAAATCTAGTTTGAATAATTTCTAAAGGTCTAAAGTAAAGACGGACACAAACCTCCAGTTTGGCAGTTTGAACAGTTTGTTTATTGGCCAAACAGGTGTTTGACACTTCGCAGCCCCGCCTCCTCTAGTGGGCGCCCACCCAGAGTCAGTGCCTAGAGGAGGCAGGGCAGGGAAGCCAGGGCACTGCCTCTGATTGGGCACCCACTGGAGGAGGCAGGGCTGTAAAGTGCGAGGGAAGCCAGGGCGCTGCCTCTGATTGGGCACCCATTGGCGGAGGCAGGGCTGTGAAGTGTCAAACATCTGTTCAGCTGATAAATGAACCAGGGCGAACCATTGAACTGAGGGTTTGTGCTCATCTCTAGTCTAAAAAGCATGCAATTGTTTGTGCGACGATCTTAGCTATTAACAGTTGGATAACAAAAGGGAAGCTGGTGGTCTTTGAGTGCAATAAATTCAAATTCCTCATTGGTATGTTGCTACCAGGACCTTATCTCAGGTCCACAATTCCACCCTCATATGAGGACAAAGATAGCAGAGTGAGGATAAAGCTTAGTGGTAGTGAATAAGCATGTTTGCAGAACCAACATGTATTTTTATTTACTACAAAGGTATTGACAAAGATATATAATGTTTGATGGTTGTTGTGGGTTTTTCGGGCTCTTTGGACGTGTTCTGAATGTTGTTCTTCCTGACGTTTCGCCAGTTTCTGTGACCAGCATCTTTAGAGGACTGGAGTAGGAACTCTGTCCATGCTCTGTTGCTGTTTGTTGGATAGTTGAGTATTTATAGCTGTGGGAACAGCTTTTGCCCTTTTCAGGAGATAGGGTGATCAGCGTGTTTTTGTTGTGGATATATTGTTATGATAAGTGAGAGAGATTATCTTTCGATATGGAGAAGCATAGTTGCAGAGTTTGGAAGATGACTTCCAGTCCCTCTTTCAATCAGAGGCTCCAAAACACTTCCCCAGATCAAAAGGGATCCG